CATCCATCCATCCATCCCTCCATCCAACCTACCGTCTATCTCATCCATCCATCCATTCTTCCATCCATCCACCTAACCACCTACCATCTACCTCACCCATCCATCCATCCATCCATCCATCCATCCATCCACCTACCTACCCCACCCACCTACCCACCATCTACCTCGTCCACTCATCTACCCACCCACTCACTCACCCACCCACTCACCTACCTGCCTACTACCTACCTCATCCATCCACCCCCTATCTACCACCTATGTCATCCATTCATTTATCCACCCACTCACCCATGTACCTACCCAGCCACCTACCATCTACCTCATCCATCCACCTATCCTTCATCTATCTCATCACCTACCTTCACACTATCTACTAACCTACACATCCCTACCTATCTCCCCCGTCCCACCCATCCATCCTGTCAAACAGCACCCAATGTGCTCCGGTAGGGAAGCCAGAGCTATACACCTCTCAGTCTATGCAATCCCTACTCAATTCAGTGAGTGAACAATTCAGTAATGTCTTGGGTCAGTTCAGTGGTTCTCAACAGGGGGCGACTTGGCAGCGTCTGGGTGGAGGCCAGGGCTGCTGTTCCACACCCGAAGCCCCCACCACAAAGAATATCTGGCCCCGGTGGCTACGGTGGGTGCCGATGGGGAGAGCCGGCCCCAGCCTCCTCCGAAGGGGCATCACCAAGCGGCAGCGTTCCTCAGCGGCCTGCGGCTGTCTTCGCAGATGACTGATGAACTGGTGAGCATCCAGCTGGGGGCTTGTGAAAGGGAAGGTGCGGGGTCCACAGCACTGAGCAGCCACCTCACCTGCCACCACGGCTTCTCAGCCTCAGCCTCGGCAGGCACCTCGACTCCGTAGACCTGCAGGGCCAGGTAGAGCACGGCCACGGCCAGGTGCTGTGCCCGGAAACGAAGACACAGCCCGCCATGGTAGCTGTCCCGCAGCAGGGCCCACGCTGTGACAGAGACAGGAGTCCGCTGCCAGCTGTAACGGTTCAGCCAGTTCTTGAGGGAAACCAGGTAGTGGAGCAGGTACTGCAAAGACACACACATCAACCAGGGCGGTGCCTTGCCTGCCCCCGCCCTCCGCAGCTTGCCACAGGCACGCACATCCAGGTCATTGAGAAAGAATCCCTGCCTCCCTCACAGTGCCTCCACCTCCTTCCTGCTGGGCTCACTCCACCCCAGGGCTTTTGCACTTCTTGCTGCCTCTGCCTGAAACCATCTCCCACCAGGAGGCCCATCCCTGCCCCTCCTATTCTCCAGGCCCAACGCCAGGGAACCCCACCCAGGCCACTGGTGCTGTGTGATGGGACGGCAGAGGGGTTCATTATGAAAGAAAAAAACTCCTTGGGAATGTTAACAAAGAAAGGACTATTCTGCACCAGAAGAAGTCACCAGGATACAAAAATTGCATTTTCATTGCAGCCCTGTCCCCAACTCCTCCAAGGAGAGTGGAAGGTCAGTGAAGCACCTGTTTTGCTTTTTAAAAAACTATTTAGCCAAGCACAGTGATGCACACCTATAATCCCATAACCCTGTGAGGCTGAAGCAGGAGGACTGCAAGTTTGAGGCCAGCCTGGGTGACTAATTATTTAGCAAGACCCTGTCTCAAAAAAAGCAAAAAAAAAGGAGGGGGCTGTGGATGTAGCTCAGTAAGGCCCAGAGTTTGATCCCTAATACTCTCAAAATAATAATAACAATAACACTAATTGGCCTGCATTAGTAACATGCTACCCCCACCAGGAAATGACCCCAGTTCTCCCTCTGTTACACGCCAATCCCCACTTCTAACCCCATGTGTGGGCCCATCCACGTGTGTCTTTTAAACTGAGGCCTGGGGCCAGGCGTGGTGGCGCAAGCCTGTAATCCCAGTACTCAGGAGGCTGAGGCAGGAGGATCATTGTGAGTTCGAGGCCAGCCTGGGTTACAAAGTGAGCTCAAGGCCAGCCAGAACTGCATAGCGAGACCCTGTCTCAAAAATAAATAAATAAATAAATAAATACTGAGGCCTGGGGCTCTGACTGCTGCTAGGAACATGTGTCCACCTGCTAGGCATCAAAAGCCCACCTCCCATGTATGAGTGGGCAGGGCAGGGGTACCCAGCATGCTACTGAGAGTCTAAAGCCCCAAACAACCAACGTTCCCAGTCCCCCATTGCCCACCCCAACCCCAAAGGAGGTCCTTGTTTCTAAACCAAACTATATGCCTCAAACTGGGCACCCACCAAGTAGGGTTCAGAGGGACTGGGGGTGGAGCTCAGTAGTAACATGCTTGCCTAGCACACATGAGGCCACAGGTTCAATCTCCAGCAATGTCAACAAAAAAAATTCAAGCCAGGTGTGGTGGTGCATGCCTGTCACCCCAGCACTCTGGAGGCTGAGGCAGGAGGATCACTACAATTATGAGGCCAGCCTGGGCTACATAGTGATTTGATTTTATTTTTTGAGACAGGGTCTCACTGTGTTCAGGCTGGCCTTGAGTTCACTATGTAGTCTAGTCTTGCCTCAAACTTGCAGTGATCCTCCTGCCTCAGCCTCCAGAATGCTGGGATTACAAGCATGCACCACCACTCACAGCTATATAGCGATTTCAAGGCCAGCCTGGACTACATAGTGAGACCCTGTCTCAAAAAATTCAAAACAAATTTAACAAAAAGAAAAAAAATACACATCCACAAAGCCATATACAAGTTCTTTGGTTCTGCATTAAATATAAGGAAACTGGGCTGGGGATATAGCTCCGTGGCACAGCACCTGGCTGGCAAGTGCAAGGTCCTGAGTTCAATTCCCAGTACCACAAAAAAAAAAAAAAAGAAACTTACTCTTTGCCTTACAAATGGGGGACCAAATGATATGAAGGTTTTCATGGGCCACGGATATAGCTCAGCGGTACAAGCGCCTGTCTGGCAAGCGCAAGGTCCTGAGTTCGATTCCCGGTGCCAAAAAAAAAAAAGATATGAAAGTTTTCTTCCTTTAAAGCAGCTCTGTGTCCACAGGGGGGCCCACTGCCCAGGAAGGGAACCCTGGCAGCAAGAGCCACAGTATTTCCCCAGCCCCTCCCCTTCTTCCCGTCCCCACATCTAATGGAACGCTGGTTATGCCATGGCCACCCCTCCCACAACCCCTCTGGCCCAGGCCCCCACAGGCCACTACAGGAAATCATCCTGCAGAATAGTGGGTGCTGCAGCCTGCCTCAAGGCGACCATGTTTTTCCGGTTGCTAGAAGGAGATAAAATGGTGCTAGGCCTGCCTGCAACCTCTCCAGGACCCTAGCCGAGCAGCGGGCTCAGCCCGAACCTCACACATGCGCAGACCACGGAGAGTGCAGGAACATGTGGAGCGTACGCATGCGAGGGAGCCACGCGTGCTAAGGGCGGGCCTCACAAAGGGGAGAGGCGGCAGACTGTCAGCAGCTCAGGTCCCAGCCCGATCGCTGCCTTGGCAAGTCCACCCCACAGTGGCCAGCGCCCTTCCCATCTGCCCCTGGGATGATGGCAGACATTCAGTATGACTACTGTGGGGCCATCCAAGGCAAGGCCAGAGGCATTAGGAGTCAGGGAGCAGTGATAAACTGGCACCAGAGGACTCTTGGGTGGATGGCACAGCAGTGGCCAACACAATACACACGATGCTGGCTGTGACCTGGGAAGTGGTCCTACTGTGGGCGCTGGGCAAAAAGCACGTGGGTCGCTTTGGGTTATTCCTTCCAGCTGATTGGGATCAAGCATTACCCCCTAAAGACTCCTTCGAAGGAGAACAAGCCAAAAAGACAAAAAAAAGGAAAAAAGCCGGGCGTGGTGGCTCACGCCTGTAATCCCAGCACTTGGGAGGCTGAGGCAGGAGGATCTTTGCAAGTTTGAGGCCAGCCTGGGCTACATAGTGAGCTCAAGGCCAGCCTGAACTGCATAGTGAGACCCTGTCTCAAAAAGACAAAAAAAAAAGAAAGAAAGAAAGAAAGAAAGAAAGAAAGAAAGAAAGAAAGAAAGAAAGAAAGAAAGAAAGAAAGAAAGAAAGAAAGAAAGAAAGAAAGAAAGAGAACAGGGGTCCTTGCTGACAGCCCTGCCCTGGACCACTGTCTGAATGGCCTCCTGAGACCTCCTGAGACCTCCGGGGACCTCTGGGCCCCGGAAGTTAAAACAGTGCCACTTAACTCAATGCCTCAGCAACTCTCAGGGCTATCTGAGCACGGCTGAGCCAGATATAACGGCACCTCCCCGGGACACGGGTGTGGCAAGAAGCACCTGACCTAGCTGGGCTGCAAGACCGCTGAGGTCACAGCTTGTGGCTACAGACAGCAGGCAGAATGAAACCATCAGCAAGAAAAGGGATGCACGTGAAGAGCATCGTGTTAAGCAAAATATGCTAGACTTGGGCAAACAGTGCGCATTTTCTCTCCTAGATGGACTCTAAAACAAATTACAACACAAAGTGACAGGATGTGAAAGTAGAACAGAGACTGTCAGAGAAGAAGACAGGGTTGGGGCGGGAGGTGGGAAGGGGTGGGGACTAAAATGACTGAGTGTATCCTGCTGTGTCCGGACGGGCGAGCCCAAGCCCGCTAGTCTGTTACCCGCTCACTTACCAGGGAAAGGCAGGCAGGCAGAGGCTGGGCCCACAAGGGCCACAGAAGCCCCAGAGCGGGCAGGAGACGGCCTGCTCCCACGGCACTAGTGGGGATGGGCTTTCAGGGACGGAGTGAAGGGCTCGCAGCTGTGCCCGGAACGTACCTTGTGAGGGTGCTGGAAGGACACCTGGAAGCGCAGAACTCGCAGGACAAGGAGCTCGCATTGCACAATGCTGTCCCGCAGCTCCCAGAAGCGCGAGTCCAGCTCCAGGGGCTCACTGCCCGGGTTAAAGTACCTGTGAGAGGGACGGCGACGCTCACGGCGCGGCTGGGGAGCAGGGTCCCGCGCGCACGTGCCATGATGTCCACGTACAGCGCACAGAGTCTTGCAGGAGGTGCATCTTCATCTACACGGCTCCGTGCGCCACGGAGACTGAGCAGCTGAGGCAAGAAGCTGGCTCTAGTCCTAGCCGGACAGGGCTGTCTGCTATCACTCAGCAACATGTAAGCGCAGACGCTCCAGGGCGCTGTCTGTCATGGCCATGTGGCCTTGGGGAGGCACTGCGGAGAGACTTCACCCAGCAGGGGGCAGCACCCTGGGGCCTCCCTCAGGGCCACGGAGCAGACGTCAGAACCCTGGGCTGGGAATGCGCACTGTGAAAGCCAAAGACTTTTCAGCTTTCTGCTTCCTTCCTGCCAGGCCTCTCCATCCTTGCCCTGGCCCTGTGACACTTCTATGCAAGCTGCCCAAGATGTCCGGGAACAGGGTTCACAGCATGCACTCCGCCGATGACTCACCCTCCCAAGCTGCTCCCCACGGACACCCCGGCTCCCCACGCCCACGCCCAGTTAGGGTGCCATACAATTTCCCCTTCTGTGATGCCTCCCTGCTGGGGTCAGGCTATGAGCGCTGGACGGCAGCCGTCCTCCCCAGGTGCGCGCCTGCTTTCATCTCACTCTCTTCCCGGACAGCGGGAACCTGCCAGGTGGACGGGATGGGCACTGCTGTTTTCGTCACCTGATTATTAATAAAGAAGCGGAACAAAACAGCTTTCTTCCTCATGATTAGAGTTTCTGGAAAGGCCCGTGACGTGCAGCGAGTTGGGAACTTTCCACAAGCCTCTCGGCTGTGTCCTGGGCCCCTGGCCTTGGCATCTGGGCCCCTGCCTCCTTTGCCAGCAGGGGCCCAACTGTGCGGCCAGCTGTGCTGCCCACAGCCCATAGCAGGTCCTGGGCAAGAGGGACTCAGTTTATCGAATCTCCTACATACGACCGCTGCCCGGCAAGGTGCACGCACTCCAGGCCTCACCTGGCTCCCTCCACTCGGGTCTTACCTCTGCCCCAGAGGCCCTGCAAGCTTCCCACCCACAAAGTCCCTGGGCTCCTGACTCCAGGCTCCTTCCCACCTCTGCGGCCAGTATTCCTGCCCTGGGTTAAGCCATCCAGCTACTTCCCGCTGGCACCCAGAGGCCAGGGCCCTGGCAATGCCAGTACCTGTTGGACACGTTGATGATGTCACGGGTCCGCAGGTGCTGCTCCTCTACTTTGCCAGCCAGATAAATGGAAGACATGGCGACCAGGTAAGGGTCATAGGCGTCCAAGTTGATCTCACAGAAGAATTTATGGTAAATGGTGCACGCAGTGGCAATGGGAATGGAATGCATCCCGAGCTTGACACCTGTGGAGAGAGAAGGGGGAGAGTTCTTCAGCCAGGCCCTCTCCACCTGCCGTGCTGGGGCCTGGGGCACGTACCCCGTGCAGGCCAGAGCAGGCAACTCTCAGGCTCTGGGGTGCTGGCAAAGCCCTAGGATGGTGTTCAAACGCAGGCACCCGGCGAGAGGCCTGGAGGCTCTGAGATGCTACAGTCTTAGCCCCCAGCTCCTGCCACAATACAGGGCACGTACCACCCCACAAGCAAGAGTGTGGGTGCTACTCAGGCGCCCCGAGCTTGTCAGCTTGTGAACCGAGGCCCGGAAAGGACCATCCACTGCCACGTGTCTGCTTTACGTGAGCCAGTGCAGAACTAGAAGTCACCAGCCCCGCAGCCCACCTAACCGAGGCCCTGCTAGGACAACATGAGGGAAAAGCCTGTGAGCCACCAAGCAGATGCCAGGGGTGCCGCCGCTACATTAGGGATTACACCCAGCACTGGTGTCCTGCACTACATTTTAGAAAAAGTGACAAAAGCACGTAGGGTGACTGCTGAGGGCAACCGTGGGCAAAGCACAGAAAAAGCAACACTGATGCCACAGCCAGGCCCCTGGGAAGGAGACCAACATGCTGAAAAGTGAGCTGGACTTGAAACCCACAGCATGGTCGATAGACTGGCTACTGTTCAGGGATCAGAGCTTGTCCTACCCCACTCCAGCCCCAGATGGGTTCTCAAGAAATCACTGTACTCACGCCTGTAATCCCAGCACTCAGGAGGCTGAGGCAGGAGGATCGTTGCGAGTTCCAGACCAGCCTGGGCTACAAAGTGAGCTCAAGGCCGGCCTGAACTGTGTAGTGAGACCCTTTCTCAAAAAGACAAGGGTCGGGGATACAGCTCAGTGGTGAAGCACCTGCCTGGCAAGCATGGGGTCATGAATTTGATTCCCGGTACCAAAAAAAAAAAAAAAAAAGAAAAGAAATCACTGTGCTGAGCCGGGTATGGTGGCGTACACCTGTCATCCCAGCATGCAGGAGGCTAAGGCAGGAGACTCACTTCAAGTTCAAGGCCAGCCTGGGCTACACACATGGTGAATTCAAGTCCAGCTTATGCTACCTAGACCTAGTTTCAAAAAACCAAGAAAGGAGAGGGGAAGGGAGGGGAGGGGAGGGGAGAGAAGTAATCACTGTGCTGGGCCCCAGAACGAACCAGACAAGGTTAAATGACATCCCATAGACCGGCAGAAGGTGCAAAGCAGCCAACAGTCCTTCAGGCCACAAGCAGCATCTTCACCTAGCGGTGCCCTGTGGCTACGGTAACAAGTCAGTGGCTGAAAGAGCACCAGCTGGAGCCTGGGCGAGGTGGGAGCCTTACGGGGCAGGGTCAAGGTGCCCAGGGGTCCGGCCTGCAGGCTCCAGAAGAATCTATGCCCCTTCCTTTCATAGCTCCTAGGGGTGCCTTCTTCCCTCTCCTAAGCATGCTCTGTCACCACACGGCCCTCCGCGTGTGGCTCCTCGCACCTCTGTCCAGGGTGGACAGGCATGGTAACAACCGGCCCGCCCCAATTATCTAGGATAACTGCTGCATCTCGAGGTTCTTGATCACATCTGCAGAGTCCCTCTTGCTATGCAAGAGGCCAGGCAAAGCTTCCAGGGATCTGGACAGGGCATCTTCAGGGCGTCAATATATAGTTCCTACACAGGGTGAGGACAAATGCAGTAAGTTTTCTCAAGAAGTCCTTCAAGAGCTAGGTGTGGTGCACATGCCTGTAGGCACAGCACTTGGGAGGCTGAGGCAAGAGAAGCTCCATGAGTTTGAGGTTAGCCTGGGGTACGCAGTGAGTTCAAGACCAGCAGGAACTACACAGTGAGACTCTGTCTCAAAAAAGGTGAGACCTAGAGCTTTAGCATGTCAAGGGCTACACATTAGGACCCCTCAGTCCAGGAAAGTCCAGATAAGGGGGTGTTGCCGATCCGGCTCTCTGAGTACACTGATGGTAGCACATGGAGGGGCCACTTCACTGCTACCCTTCCTTAAAACACTTTGCAATTTTGGTTTGTTTGACGCAGGACGCGCTATGTAGTTCAGGCTGGCTTTTAACTAACTATGTAGCCCAGGCTGGCCACGAACTCACAAGGATTCTCCTGCCTCAGCCTCCCGAGGGCTGGGATGACAGGCGTGCACTACTACACCCGTCTTGCAATTCTTGGACACCAAGTTAAATATACAAACTGCTGGGATTAGCGGCCCTGCGCCATTTCCTCGGGCCCTCTGCCCACCCTGACTTGAAAGTATGCCCACCCAGCCTGTACCCAAAACTCCACATAAGGCGATAAGGAAGTTGAGCAAGATAATATCAATAAAGAAACAGGAGATTTCTACAGAAACCCCATGGTTTCCTCGCCTAGCCCTAGGAGCAGGGCGCCAACACTACTGGGGTCGCCCTGGCAAGGCTCAGAACCCGGCTGCACCCTGGGTCCTCGGGGTGACAGGACCTCTCCCACCGAGCACCGGGCTCGCAGCGGCAGGCACAGGCGCGGCAGAGCTGCGCGAGCCAGGCGGTGCGGCTCGGGCTCGCCTCACTGGGGATCCGTCCACTCCGCAGCCCCGCCTTCCGGCCTGCTCGCCCCTCCGTGCAATCGGATCTCCGGGCTGCCTCGTGGCTCAAGGCCGGCACACCGGGCGGGCCGGGAAGGCAGAGGCCCCAGCCCTGAGCCGGGCATCCCCGCCTCCGCCCAGGCCTCCCCGCCAGCCCGCCTCTCCCCGGCAGCGGTTACCTGCCTCCATGATGAACCTCGTCACACGAAAGTGCACCCTCTCCACCGGTGCCGGCCGGCCCTCGGCCCCAGGACCCGCGACTCCTCCTCCGCAGCTCTCCGAGCCCACAGCCTCCATGGGGTTCGCCCCGCCGCCCAGACCCTCCACAGGAGAGCGAAGCGCCCCCGCTCGGGCTCCGCGGGTCCTCGCGGCAGGCGCG